CTCAGCGCGGCGGTTAAGCTGGACGGCCAGATCTGAGAACAGAGACCAGAACTGCACCGAGCTCGCAAAGTCGAGCGCACTGGGCGGCAGCGGAACGATCAGGCCGTCCGCTGCCATGAAGGCGTTAATGGTCAGGTAGGACAACGCCGGGGCGGTATCGATCAGAATCACATCGTAGAGATCCCGAACACTCTCCAGACCATTGTCCAGGACCTTCCAGAATTCAAAGTCAGGCTCTTTGAGCTGCTTGGCCGGCAGGACGAACTCGGCACTAAACAGCTGGGTATTAGCCGGGATGAAGTCGAGGCCATCCCAATAGCTTTCATGAACGGCGTAGAGGAGGTCGCTCTGATGCCCGTAAATAAGCGGAGCTATCGTGACTTCCTCATCAACCTCTGTATCCGGGATCACGCCAAACAGTGTCGTCAGCGAGCCCTGCGGATCCATGTCGATGACCAGCACCTGGTAGCCACGCAGCGACAGTCCCTGGGCGATTGTCATGGTTGTCGTCGTTTTGCTGACGCCACCCTTGAAATTGCCGATCGCAATCGTGGCCGCTCTCTGACCCTTGGGCCTGGGCGCGTTTTCCCGCAGGGCCTGTACCCAGACCCGGGCTTCCGCGAGAGAAAACACGCGGCGGCGGGTGCCGGTGGGCACGGAACCGGAGGGCAGGTCGCCTTCCTTGATTCGGTAATTGAGGTACTCAAGCTCGATGCCGCACATCTCAGCCAGATCCTTTGCCGAGTAAACCGGGGGCTTCTTGCTTGAGGTCGGGGACAGCATCAGTCCCCGGACCTGTTCCAGGACGGCTGTGGCGTGCGCCGACTGATCCACCAAATCGTTCAGCTCTATAGGCTGGTTCATTCCTGCTCCTATGTATCGACGCTGAAAACCGGGCGTCAGACCGATACCAAAATTATAAGGCGGAGCAGGTACCAATTCAGATTGTGTGTTGCTGAACCGAGATACGGAGTTCGTATCTTCAAGAGGTGGTGCACCGTGCACCACTCGCTGTTGACTGGTATTGAGGTGAGCGTCAGCGTGAAGTCTGCATGACAGGCACCCTGTTTAAGACTTTAATTAACTTCAAATACTTTAACTACTTTAAGCTTGGGAAAGCCTTGGTTTCAGGGGCTCACAAGGCGTTAGGGTGAGAGATAGCGTGATACCAGGTGAGAGGTAGCGTGAAACAAGGTGAGCGACTACGTGATAGCCGGTGAGCGCGAACGGGAAACAAGGTGAGTGGATTCGTGAATGTCTGGTTTGATGTCTGGTTCGAGATCGTTGCGAAATCCGCGCGGCAATGATTGTTGCCATGGATAAAAAGTTGACGGTCTCTGAGGTGAGCGCCAGCGTGAAGCCGGCTTGGGTTGGACAGGGCAGGGGGCTTTGTCGGAGAATCACGACTGTCTCTAATAGGTGAGAACGGTTGGTTCGGTATTGTTGACAGTCGTATACTACCTGCGGCATTCTCACCTAAATAACAATCAGGTTGGCCGTCCCGCATGGATGCATTAACTGTACCGCGCACGCTTGTTGAGGAACCGGAGGCCGCTCCGGCGCTTGCCGCGGACCCGACGATGGGGCGTCCGTCCAAGTCTGACACCCTGCGAAAAGCGGTTGATGCCCTGGCCATTGTGCCGACCCGTCAGCGGATCTTTCCGCTGGCCCGCAAGCTCTATAACGTGATGCTTTTTCTGGCCCAGCGCCAGGGACTTGAGAACGACACATACCGGGCGACGCTGTCGGAGATCACGAACAAGGCGAACTTTCATTCGCGTGACCTGGAGCTCATCAAGAATCATCTGCGGCAGATGAACTCGACGCAGGTTGAGTGGCAGTCGCCAACGAGTGACGAAGGTGCCCGGTGGGATGTCTCAAACCTGATTGCGCATGCGTCAATTGAAGAACCAGGGCAGGGCAGGGCGATCACAGTTGAGTGGAGTTTCGCGCCCAACATCAAACGCGAACTGCTGGACCCCACACGCTTTGCCCAGATCTCTCTGGCTTTCCAGTCCTCACTACGATCGCACGCCAGCATTGCCCTGTTCGAGATCTGTTCGCGCTATGTCGACAACCCGTCACACCTGTCGGCTCGTAACGACTGGGAATGGTGGCGACCTGTCCTGACCGGGATTCCGGAGTCAGAAGCGAGTGCTTACTTAAAGTACAAGTACTTCAAAAGGGATGTCCTGACACCGACCGTTGCAGAGTTAAACAAGGTGACCGACCTTCAGATCGAGATGATCGAGCACAAGGAAGGCCGGCGAATCCGGGAACTGCAGTTCTCGGTCAGGCGTAAGGAGCAGTCCGCGCTGCCGTTCGAGGAAAGGCCCGAACTGGATCTGGCGTTGATCGGGCAGGCGGTCCGACTGGGTGTTTCCCAGCTGGCGGCCGAGCAGCTGCAGCAAAAGCATGGCGACACTCTGCTCAAAGAAGCGTTGGGCGTGGTGACGGAGCGCATGCAGGCGTCCCGCGGTTCACCGATAGCCAACGTTGAGCGCTACCTGCTC